CTACGGTGCCGCTTGGACCGCAGGCTTTCCTCCTCGTTCTCCATACATTCTTCGTCATCCACATTACTATCTTTATTCTTTCGAGTGTGCTTTTTCGAAACCTGATCTCTGCCTGTACTAAACCCCTCTCCTCTTTTACTTTCCTCTGAAAATTTCGAAGTAGCGTACCCCCCAGTCTCTTCATTTTCCTGCAAGTGATCACATCTGTCGCTACTGATCTTTCCAGAATCGTTGCTTCCACGGTCGTCATCCAAGCTAAACTCAGATAGACTGTCCTCACCGTGGAGGCCAAACAATACTTGGTAAGGTGGGTCGACATTGCTACCGTTTTTGGGAGAGTGCGAACGAGACCGTGGCGATGGTAACATGTCTAGAGCAAAATCTACTGCTAAGGCATCGTACTCAGAAAGGCCAGTGGTTGGCATACGCTCAATCGTACTAGCAATGCTAGAAGTTTCTGTATCGGCTTGTTGAGCCTCCTCTGGAGTCTCCTCCAGCACGTGCCTCAACTTTTCGGCAATGTAAGGCGACTTCATGGCGAGCTGGTCCCCATATGATCTAAGCAAGATGAGGGCTGTCTCTTGGCACAGATGAATGTTTTCGTGCTCAGTGGGTTGTCTGGAGAGATCAGCGTCAGTGGCAGAAGAACCTATTCTTGAATCAAGGCCGTCCTCCAACAACGCAACTGCGAAGGATGGCTTTGGAGTCACTAACTCAGTACTCTGCCGCTTTCCTAAATGCACAAGCGTGCACAAGTCAAAGAACAGACGCCCCAGCGAAGCCGAAAGTACGTTGTTCCGTTGTGCACATTCGAGAAAGAGCCTCATGCACGCCTCAATCAGGCCATCCTTTCCGGTAAGCAGGTGGAGGAGGCGGACACAGCCTGTGTTAAGCAGGGCTGCTAAGAAAGATACAGCGGATGACTGCAGGTTCATACACCATCGAGAGGAGCGCCCAAGCAGCGCCGCAAGCCCAGGAATAAGCTGGGACAGCACTAGTAACTCCGTAAAACTGCCACCATGTCTCCCTTCCATTTCCTCAGCCACAACTTGAAGCACGCGCAGGTGGTAGAGTGCACGCGTTTCCTCCTGTTTCGGCAAGGAGGGAATAGTGGTGGTGGTAGCCCACAGTGATAACAGCTGCGCTAGACTTGAGGCGACCAAGAATAGAGGGGGCTTCTCCACACCGCTCCCCTCAACCCAGAAGCGGACGACATCAGACCGCTGCGCCCTATCTGCCGGAGTAACAGGTATTAGCAGACTCCGTAGCCCCACCGCCGCTCCCAAAATAGCGTCGTAAACAGCCTGCAGCGTGGCGACCTTTCGCACAACTGTGATTAACTTCATTAAAAGGCTTAGCGTGCTCCTCTGGGGATTTGTAGCGGACTCTGTAAGGAGATTCTCACGTGAGCTACCTAATATCTGAACGCAGTGGTTAATGGTTTCGCATGTTGCCTGAATAGCCGTCTCAGCTGCCACAACTTCGTCACCGTCCTTCAGCACACGGACCGTCGTTGCGACGGTCCCTGGGTCGCGGACCTCGTAGGACTTTATCGCATGATTTAGGAGCGCATTGGCAAAAGTGAAAAAGCCACCCTGAACAAAGAGAGCGTACAACTCCTCCTTTGCATCCAGTGTAATCATCGAATTCTTGATTGTCTTCGATGTGTCAAATACGAAGTCTGCTAATGAGTAGAGGGATTCACTTGTTCCAGCCGCAACAGCCTCTCGGAATGCTCGAGGAAGCAGATCCTGTCCACGACAGACATCCTCCATCAATGTATACTTGAAACGGAGCAGGAAAGTGTTGAGAAGTGAGGTGGACATGGCGTCACCCTCATCTAGGCTAAGTGGTACTAAATCCTTGAGGTAGCTTGTCGCAAAGATGATGTGCACACGAAACAGGATATTTTCAGGAAGCTGACAAGGATTTTTGAAAGTAGCACGCCTTTCCTCGAAACTGATGAATCCACTTGCCTTGTCCCTTCGACCAATGGCGTACTGAACAACGTCAATGCAATCCTCAATAACATCGTTATCAACAAACTGACCAATGATTTTTCCCTCAGAATTATAGGGCGTCTTTAGCAAGGCC